ATGGCAATCAACCCAAATCATGATGATAACAAATGAATTTCAGTCAAATATTCGGTAAAATCATCAATCGGGATGGACCAAGTCACAATCCCCAGTAGTGAAAGACCCCACGCTCATCATCCAGCGCGTATCTTGCCTCAATATAGCACTACGATGTGCAATCCGGGGTTTCAAACCCTCAGGACATCATTTACAACCATTACTCACCTCGAACTGGCTAATTCTCTAGCTCACGACGCCTTTGCCCCTCGAATTGGCCTCCACGCGCGTCGAATCTATCCAAAATCAGAACGAATACGTCACAATATGCTAAGGGAACAAAGCCCAAGCGAAAACATTCGAAAAATATCAAAAATCTCGAAATTAGCAAAACCCGAGCCCCGGGCCCACGTCTCGGAATCGGGTAAAATTTACATTTTCAGAATCCTCATACCCTCACGAGTCTAACCATACCAAAATTATCCAATTCCGATACCATTTGGTCCTTCAAATCATCATTTTATATTTTTGAAAGGTTTCACAATTTTCTTCCCAAATTCCATCCCAAATCACGAATTAAATGATGAATTCAATGATAGATTCATGTATTCTAGCCAAATCTGAGTTAAAATCACTTACCCCAATGATATTTTTGAAAAACCTTCGAAAAATCGCCAAAATCCGAGCTCTCTAGGTCAAAATATTAAATAAAACCCAAAACCTCGTATTTATAGGGTACCCCTCAGGTTCTAGCCTCCGTGGGCTGCACCAAAACGACCGCGGTTCGTGCAAACACAACCGCGGCCGCACAGGCCTTACTCTTCAGTGACAAGCTTTAATATTTTGGTCATAACTTTTGCTACAGATGTCAAAATTGCGAATTACCTTTCTGGAAACTAGACACAAAGGACTACAACTTTCGTTTTTGAATCATCTCAAAATTTTTTGTGGATCAAAAGATATGAGCTTCCGAAGTTGGACCGACGATCTGCAGATCTTCATGACCGCGGCCGCGGTCACATTTACGCACCCAACACTAAGCCAGCGCGCCTAGCGCTAATTCTACCGCGGCCAGCGCTAACAATTCTGCCCCCATCCATTTCTAAGTTTCGAAATGTCCGTACTCGCTCAAAACTCACCCGAAACACACCCGGAGCCATCAGACCTCAACCCAAACATACCAATACCTCCCATAACATCATTAACACCTAGTCGAGTTTTCAAATCACTCCGAACAACATCAAAACACAAAATCAACTTTGGATTCAAGCCTAAGAACTCCAAGAACTCTTAAATTATGCTTTCGATCAAAAAGTCTATCAAATCTCGTCCGAATAACCTAAGATTTTGCACGCACATCCCAAATGACACAACGAAACTACTGGAACTCTCAGAATTCCATTCCAACCCCTATATCAAAATCTCACATATCGACCGGAAAGCGCCGAAATCTCAATTTCGCCAACCCAAGCCTTAACCTTCCACGGACTTCTAAAATGCATTCCGATCATGCTCCTAAGTCCCAAATCACCTAATGGAGCTAACCAAATCATAAAAATTCACATCTTAGATCAAATACACATAAGTTAAATTTTGGTCAACCCTTTCAAATTTTAAGCTTTCAACTGAGACTGTTCTTCCAAATTCATTCTGATTAACCTGAAACCCAACACAAACAATTTACATAAGTCATAATACACCACACGAGGCAAGTCATGTCCGAGAACTGGCGGGCGATATGCAAAAGCTCAAAGCGACTGATCGGGTCGTTACACAAAATCCTCAAAAAAAAAAAAATCCTCTAGTATCTAATCAATACTCCTGAAATGTTTGTATAAAAATTTATATGTATGAAGATAACATGTATTTCGTGATAAATCACACAATATTGATAATTTTTACAAGTAATCACTTGAAAATATTCTCATTAATTACATATCAGGCGTTGTCATGTGTTACTCATTCACGTTCAAAATATCAACAAAATTGTGTGTTACACTATTAAAAATTATTGGGGAAAAAGGGGACAAATTTTTAATAAAGCTAGGAACAGTGGAGGCATATGACAAAAATAAAGAATCCAAAGTACTCCATCCACGATATTAAAAATAAAGTACTGCTACATCCTAAGAAATTAAAGAATGATAGACAACAACTATTTGATACTAGATTCAATAAACAAATAAGGCAAAAAGAATCTCCTTTGGCTTGGGATCTGGATACCAAGAAAGAGAAAAGTCATACTATATAATAACATTAATGCAAAATTCAAAGAAGTTTAAAAGTTCATCCCTGTAATTTTACTTGTTGGTCAATAACAAAAGGGATATACATAAAAGCAGAAACACGCTTTTTCTTTCCATTTGAGGAAAAAAAGGCTGAGAAGTCGTTGTAGGACAAGAAGGAGAAGAGCAGTTAATTAGCAACTAAACATACATCTGATTTACCAACTAAATTACTCTGATNTAGAAACACACTTTTTCTTTCCATTAAAGAAAAAGAAGCTGAGAAGTCGTTGTAGGACAAAAGGGAGAAGAGCAATTAATTAGCAATTAAACATACATCTGATTTACCAACTAAATTACTCTGATCAAACATCTTTGTCCATAACATACAAGTCCTCATTCTCTTTCTCAAAGCTTTCTTATTTAATTTGTTCTGCTCCATTGGGTATCTTCACCGGTTAAAAAAGAATAGTTTCAAGGACAAAAGAAATGTTAAACAAAAAGAAAATACAATTGCACGCAGAAGAGGAACCCAAAATAAGGGAATATATGGAATTCAGGAAGGCTGCATTTACAAAGAAGAAGAGCAGACTAAGAAACGTTTTTAGATGTGGTAACGTGTAACATAAATTTTCTAATATGATTTAAAATAGTTGAAGAAATAACAACTCTTCACTATAATGCACAATAACTAATAAGTAATTACTTCTTGTAAAGACTTTAATATGGGAAGTGGAAAAGAAATGAATGAGATATACTTTTTGACATTTTATAATTAGGAAAAGGCAAAAAAGGAGAAAAAAGATAAATAGGATCCTTGGCCAAATAGAGGTGTCAAATCACCTTGTCTATTCCCACAATTATATTTATACTAATGTATTTGCCCGCGCTTTGCACGGTTATGAAAAAAAAAATCATAAAAGAGTAATGTTATAATATCTATAAGCAAATAATGTTTACTAATCAACCATTTTTGCATGATTTTATCATCTTTCCTCTCTTTTCATGATTCTCTTTAAACACTATATAAAAAAAATTACAGTAAAATTCTTTCATGATTTTGTTTAGATATTATATATATATAAAAAAATTAACGGGACAAATTGTGAATATCCTTGGTTTTGAAACGATTCCTTTAAAATTATTTAGATAAATACATGTTACTTGAATTAGGAAAACACAATTTTTTAAAGAAAGAACTAATGAAAAAAGAGAAAAAATGATAAGACAAAAATCTAGGAATATGAATCTATGATATCGATTGCATTCTTTTCTTTCTCTAAGGCTTCTTTTCTGTATTTTATTTTTTATTTTTTATGAAGTATTAATTGTTCATACATATGTTTCATAAAGTTGATCGTTTTTCAATTCTCTCAAATAAAAATTAATCAAAGAAGTAAAAGAGAAGGATAGAAAAAAGAGATAATTACAAAAATAGAAATTGAAGAAAAAAAAGAATCAACTAAATGTATTTCTCTTACTTGAGTACTTATTTATCTGTCCCTTCTTCCTTTTTAAAACTTTAAAACATGGAGTTCCCTTTCCTTTCTTTCTTCTTTTTCTTCACCATCACTCATAATCAAATATTGTGCCAAACATGCATGTAGTGAACTTCTTCTTCAATGACAAAGGCAAACATTTCAAGTAGCCCTTGACAAAAAGATAACCTAAACATTGTAGGCAGAATAAAGTTATTGCAAGAATAAGTCACTCAATTGGCTTGGTAAAGTTCCTTTCTACTCCACCTCTCACGATATCATATTTACTAATTATCAGGTTTGTGTCGTCTATTGATGTTTGATGACAATGTCGCATATATTTTCAATATTTGCCATAGAGTAGGATATCAAAAAGTTAAGTAACCAAAAATCGTCAAATTAAAGACATTCATTTGTCAAAAAACATGAAATTAATAAAATGATACAATTTGTGATTATTACCTCTGACGTTATTACAGCCATAAACTGCTCATTGGGAAGTACCGATGAGAATGGAGAAGGAAAACATGTGAAATATAGAATGACTCATAAGAGAGTCCTACATTTTGATTTATAAAGAAAACGGACTCAAAATAGATGTAGTAAACCCATACCAGTTTCGCTGCCTTGTTAGTTTTCTTTTTTCTGTTAAGCAAGCACCTTCTCTTCTTCAGCTATTGCGTTATCTTCTCTCAATTCTTTAGATGTAGATTCTTCTCAAGAAGCGTAGTAAGTTCTTTTGACTTTTAGATGCAATCAACTCAACATAATAATGTAGTAACTATCGGATTAATTTTTTTTTTTTTTTTGTGAAAGTTAAAACTTAAGCTTGGAATATGGAAAGGCTATTCTGCAAGCCAAGAGGCACTAGTGCAACTTTAATGACCCATTATTTCAATTCAATGGTTGCAACTTTAATGACCCATTATTTCAATTCAATGGTTGCAACTTTAATGACCCATTTTAGTATCAATTCAATCGTTGTAACCATTAGCTTAATTATTGCAACGTTTTAAATTCTCCAAGTTGGAACACAGAAAATAAGACATTTAAACTTAATAAAAAATTAGAGGAAAAGCCCAAAAAAGGAGAAAAAGATAAGTGAGTTTCTTGAGGTGTCACCTCACTTTTTTATTACTCTCTTTTATATATATATAGATATAGATCTGACAAAATGAGAAACAAAAGGACAGAGAAGGGCATAGCAACAAGAATTCACTAAGACAAAACTAAAGTTCTACGGTCTTCAAGATGACTATGTGCTAGAAAGATCCAGTTGTTTTAGCGATAATAATAATAATAATAATAATAATAATAATAATAATAATAATAATAATAATTTCTAAGTTAAGATAAATATATCACATCATCTTGTGCCGTAGAAATACAAAAGATCGTTCTATTTGTGCAGAGACAAAAATGTGAAAAGCTATAGCATTCACTTTCCGTAAAAGGAACAAGTGTTTGCAACCAAAATCGTTTAACTAATGAAAAACGTCACATTGCGTCTCTTATGTCACCCTAAACTTCATCTGATTAAATTTTCTTCACTCAAGCATCTCAAAGTTTTTTCTTAAAAACAACTCAGTTGAGCTACCAATCTTTGAAGTGAAGTATCAAGCACAACCTACAAATAAACCAAGAATAGCATACTCAGTAGATGGAAAGCAATTTATCCTACAATATAGTTATCATGGCTAACCTTTAAAAGGAATCGAGAGGACCCAAATGACAAAGAAACAAAAGGAATGAGACAATCATAATTATGAAAATAGGTGCAGATAAAACTTATGAATATGTATATAGCACCGGATGAGACAATAGAAGATTGATCTTCACACATGTCAACATGTACCATTTACCAAAATTCACTTAGAAACAGAATCAAGCACTCAGAAGAACCATGCTTTTCCAAGAAAATGAAAATTTTAAAATTCCTCTTTCCTGTGGCCTTACAAATAAAACTTTTAAATTCTCATAAGAGCTTAGTTTCTCATTTGAAGTATAGCGCTTACATCTTAACTCCAAAGTTATCAACAAACAAAAGTAATGTCACACACATTTTTATAAGTTAGTCAAAAGTTTTTTTTAATGTTTAACTCTCCTTGAGCCCTCGCTTGGCTCGATCAGAAGTTTCTAAATTCTATTAACTTATTTTTGATTATGGCTTTTGTTCTTGCTCAGAAGGCCCTGAGCAATCTTTACCCCAAAACACAAATGTAGGCGTTCAACTCTTTCTTGAAGAGTCATACCTAATTTCCATCACAGACTTTATAAATAGCTCCGATTGTTACCTATCATGATATTGTAGGAAGACAACTTACATTTATTACTTTTAGAAAAAGCTCCACCAACGTGTTATTTTAACTTTATCACACCATATCAATTGATCCACAAAAGTTAGTGCATCTATGTCATCAGCAATTGAAATACAGAAAGTGATGATATTAATCTCAGAATAAAAACCTTGAAATTCTATTGACTGACCTGGGATTTTTAGTTCATATAGACCAGGCACGCATTTCCATCATTGCACACCTAAAAATTTAGAATGGATCAGAAAGAAAAATCAGCAAGTAGAGAATTGAATGATTTTTAATAACAATAGTTACTAAAAATAGTTCTTGCATTTAAATGAATATTAACCTTTTCTTGTTAGTTGCAGAAATTCACCCCAAAGGGAGAATCGTGTTCATAGGGAAAGCACAAGAAGTGTGACTTCTATCATGCTTTTTCCACATGAACTTACAGATGCATTCCTTATAATTGCCACCACTGTAACTGTCAACCGTCCACTTTGCCAAATTCTATGACCTCTGCAATATTTTCCTTAAAATTCTTTGGAAAATGTTTCAGTTGAATTAAAAAGAATCATAGGAAGATATTCTGGTTAATATCTTTTGGAGAAAGATCTCAGTTGATGAGTCTTTCGTTTGAAATATTATTTGACTCTAAGATCTATTTCAAATGGATTAAGAACATATTTTATTCTTCCCACGTATCATTCTCCTCTTTAACTATTCTAATTACTCTATAATTTTACTGGTAAGTTATTCCTTTTTTTGTAATTCAGATAGCGAATTAGAATTATACGACGTGCCAAAGAAAATAAAGAAAAAGTAAAATATGTCAATACTTGTGCTTTCAATTACATCTGAAATGAATTAAACAAATTCTACTATAAGATGGTTGCTCAAAGTTAACAGGTTGATCTATTCATATATATTTGCTTGAAGTCAGAAAATCCTTTTCTAGTTAGTTAGTAGTGAATTTTTAAGCATATGCAATCTAAATGCGGACATACATAATAGAATCCTTCTTCAAAGGCATTCCTGATGTTGCTCCTGCTGCGATTGGTCAGCCATATCTAGTTTTCATGATGTTTTATTGATTAATTTTCGATGCTTTTTAAGCTTTTATTGTTCAGCTGGTCATAATGAAGTTTCTAGCAAAACAATAATGCCGTGGGAGTTTTTAGTCTCATAACCTTCTACACATTCTTCCTGCTGCCTTAGCTGAAAATACACCACCACCACCACCACCACCACCACCCCTTTATTTTTTCCGGTAAACTCTAAAGTGATTCAAAAACTAATTACCAAGTTATCACCTTTATGATGTTAAATTCCCATACTCCACATCGATTATATTGACAACGAAAGCACATTATAAAATGTTTTAATAGTTGAAATAACAAATAAAGGAAGTAAAGTAAAAACTTGTCATTTCGGATCAACGAATCAATTTCAACCCTCATTCAAGAGGAGGTTTTGAAGATAAAATAAAAGAGAAATAATGGAAAAGAGAAAACTCGGTCAGGGAAAGAACGAGACTATAAGAGCATAGATGAGGAACCAATGCGCAAAGCAGTCGGGCAATGTAGACAAATCTAAAAAAGGGGGTTATACATCAAAATTTCAATCAGCGATTATCAAAAATTTCACCAGTTATATACCTCAAAAGAAATCAAAATTTCAAAGGGGTTACACCTCAAAATTAGCAGAGAATCAATCTTTAACTAATTAATATAATAAATAAAGAAAATAAATGAAAATACAGAAACAATTTAAAAATAGCAATTTAAGGGGTTATACCTCAATATTCCAATTCAGAAGTTTGAAAGCTCCAAGAGTGCTCTATCCGGCAAGAATCATGTGAGCGTTTTCTTTGATCGGCACAGATATTACAGTAGCACACAACTTTATCCCAAATTGTGAAATACAGTTGCATTCGAAATCTGATTTCATCTCAATTCATTAAACCGCCTATATCAAGAGCACAATCTGTCACCAATTCCACCACCTTGAGTCGAATTTCGATCTTCTATTTTATATTTATTTAAAAAGAGAAGTAGTCCAAATGCTTGAACAATTCCCTTTGTAGTAGTCTAAAGAACTGAAAAGAAATAAAGTTATTGGCACATACCTCGTTTACTCATCTCTGTCTTCAACTATGGGTAAGAAGAGATTAACCACCGGGATACCGCATTGGTATAACAAAAATAAGAAAAAGATAGAAGCTCAAATGATAGACCACTGGACAAACTAAAAAAGTGAAAGAAAGCTAGTTGGAGAACTGAGCTATAGAGAAATAGAGAATTCTAGATGAAGAATATCAGGAAGGACGCGTGTTTTATGACTTATGAGCAATAAAAATTCAAGTTAAATCTGCTGAAATTACATATATACCCTTGGTCGACCACCTTCCCTTTTCTATATAATAGAAATAGAAATATATCCGGCATACGAAACTTCTTAGGAATGAGGTTCGGAGCTGCGCTATGAGAAAATGGCTTTTGCACGAACTTTTTTGCATCCAAACCTTTTAAGATCAGGAGTGCCCTTGATATTTAATCAACTCGGGAGTTGATGTTTCCACTTTTTTGTTATTATCTTTGATTTTTTTCTCTCCCGACTCGATTCTATTGGTGAGCACCTCGAGCATCTTCATAATAGCAGGATCAGTCCCGATCCATTACCGTTCGACCTTTCTGCACCTGCTCGGTACAGTGAGTAATTTCAGGTTCGACCACACTCGGAGTTTTATGTTGACTTTGAAGCTGAGCGATAGCAACCTACTAAGCCTATGGCATTTCGAATATTACCTGGAGACTAACTCCTCATCTCCTACACCCTGTGTTCCTTGGCCTCCAAATCGGCCTTACCTACGTACACTCCCTTCGGGGTCTGCGCCTAAATCCGCATTCAAAGTAATGTGTGAACTGATATCGACTGGATCAACCGGCTCTCCTCCGAGATTAGACAGTGGCACCCCGGCTCCTGGAGCAATTACGTAATCGTTTTCCCCGTGAATTTTAAGACCATCATCACCATGTGCAGGTGCGTTTTGTAAATTTGACATGTTTTATCCTGAGAACAAAAATTCTTGACAAGAACAAGTGTAAAAATAACGTGTGTTATCGGAATCAGCACAAAAACAATCACTATTATCCTTAGCCTCACGGTGAGCGCCAAACTGTTTACCCTAAAATCTGAGTAACAATTAAACTTATATTATGGTTTTAAAGATACGTGATTTAGTCCAATACCAATTGATAAACAAAAAATGAAATATCTAAATTGTAGAAGTAAAACAAGTCAAACCAGTGTGCAAGCTAAGTCTTGACCTCGAGTTATGGTGGCCTCGAGGTAGGTTAGTAAGAACAACAAAATTATAAGGCAACTCTGACGAATAGTAAGCAAGAAAGTGAAAAATTTATATTCCCTTGTCAATGAATCGTGTGTTACAAATGAATGGGCTCCCCTTTATATAATATGGGAGTCCTAAATAAGGTACACTTCTAATTCTAGTAGGAAATCTTATTGGACAGCTGTCTAATCGCCATGTACAAATCCGTTCCGGAATTTATGCCGGGATCTTCGGATCGTTGCGGGAATCTCGCTCTTTTTGTTACTAAACCATAACGGTATTATCTCGAGGTTGTTCATACTCGACCTTGGTTTTCATCGAGCACTTCGATCTTCAAGTTCCATACTCCACCATCGGGCTCGAGCCAGGTCTGTTTTGAACTTTTTCTTGAAGCAACTCCTCGAGCCTACAAAATCGGGCATACCTGATTTCGACCGTATACAGTTAAAAATAATAGGTTAGTAACTTTCTTGATACATAGATAAAAGACGAATTTTTTGTTATACAAAATAATTAAAAAACTTTGGTATGATAAAGCAAAGTTGAGTAACTAGTAATAATTACCCCTAAAGTAAAATATCAAGTACTTGGGACTTCTAACAAAGATTAATGAACCCGTGCTAAGTCAAAATATAGACCTTGAGAATTCTGAGTTGAGGGAGTGTGGTTTTGAAATATACATAGAGAGAGAATTCGATCTTAAACCACAATGAAGTCCATGTTGATTTTTAGTTTAGTTTTTGAAAATAATTCTTGGAAAATGTTGTATGTTCATATTTACCTTTATGCTAGGTTTGAAAATAAGGTGCTTCGGTTTGCTTTTGGTCTCCGAATAATCGTAGCACCACTACTTCCGAATAAATGAGAAGGTCACAACTGAAACAAGTTCTTATGTACAAGAATCTCTCATTTGGAAACCAGAAAATAATTGCTACCTATCCATATTATATTAGAAGCACGAAGGTCCTTAGCGAAATATCGTTCGCTTTTTTTACCCGTTAAAAAGAGATTTCATATTGGACAAAATTGTAATTTAAATTAATTTCCTAATATTTAGGATCTTAAAATCAATTTAAATATTTTTTCTTTTTTGAAACATTTATAGAATCCTAATATTTAGGACTTTATAATCGATGAAAATTTACCTCACATAAATTCTTTTCCTAATTAAAGTATGTAACATGTTTATAATTAGTAGTACCAAAATTAGAAAAAATTTAAGGCCAAATATTAACTACACGTAGAAGGAGTTCATGGGCATAAAGAATAAATTTGTTTATATTTATTTCCTAATGCTAGATGACCTTCGGCCCGTGCTAGCACGGGCTCAACATAGTGTGTAGTTGAATTTTTCGTATGTATGCAAAATTTTAAACTTATTTATTTGGTTTTAGTTACATTTTCCTTTCTACAGAAAGTAACTAAAGTTTTTTTACAAAGAACATGCAAATTCTGTCAAACACTACAATTTATATACAATTTGAACATAGCTTTTTGTTGTACAAATGACATACAAAAATATATACAATCTATTTATATCTTACTCTTTGAGTGTTAATCTAAAATTTCATTCAAAATCTACTCAAATTTTTACCAAATTGATATATAAACGCCAAAGGATATTTCAATTACTTGCAACGTCTAATTCAGATAAATAATAATTTTGTAAGATTCTATTTTTGAATTCAAAACTTCGAAACTTTTATGGATGTCAATGGAGTTTAAGCTTATGTCTTTATGTTTCACATGTCTTAAAAAATTGTGTATAAGAGAATACATAAATAAGTTTCACATAAAATAACAAATAAATGGTTTCAGTCTCGCCTTCAGCAGTGTTCCTTTTTTTTTAAAAGTAACTTGACTTTAGCATGGTTAGGATGACGTAAAAAATTATGTGATAGTTAACATGGATCAATTATACGGGATGTGATTTTTTCAAGGAAGCTTTAGTTCGACCCTTTTTTGGGATAAGTTTATCCTTCATAGTTTAAAAACGAAGACGGGAGGTGCAGTAAAAAATAAGGATTTCTGGCCTATAAGCTGGTAAGAGTGCATAGGCCTATCTCTATGTATATCATAGAAGTGGCAAACGGGCGGGTCGGATCGGTATGGTTTGGGTCAAAATGGGTAATGAAAAAACGAATAAATTATCTGACCCGATCCATATTTAATACGGATAAAAAACGGGTTAACCGGCGGATAATATTTATAACTATATTATCCATGACTTCTTGCATGTGATTACTTTTGGGAGAATTCTTAGTCTCCTTAACTTGAGGAACCCCTAGTTTGAGGCTTTACAAATCTAAAAGTTAGACTAATTTGTTATCCATTTTCTAAATGGATAAAATTGTTCTTATCCATATTTGACCCATTTTTAAAATGTTCATTATCCAACCCATTTTTTAGTGGATAATATGAGTGATTAACTCTTTTCTTTTAACTATTTTGCCACCCCTAGTATGTCGGATAGAGTTGGGTGGAATAGGGGAGAAAGAAGAGAGAGAAAGAATGAGGAAGATTGCAGTCTAAATACATTATTTTGTATAAAATTAGTAAATTATATATCAAATATTATAAAAGCATTGTAGAGTTGTATAAAACTTTCTAATATGTGTATTGGAACTTATTCTAAATACTCATAAGCTTTTTTTGCTTAACACATAAGTAGATCTGTTGTTTTGCAACAACATCGCAGAGTTGTATAGAACTTTCAAATATATGTACTGAAATTGCTAAAGATAAGATTGTATAGAACTTTGAAATATGTGTACTGAAATTGCTAAAGATAAGATTGTATAGAACTTTGAAATATGTGTACTGAAATTGCTAAATATATAGTTTTTTCAACACATGAGTCTGACAAAGTTTCTATCTGTAGTTTTCTCCATGAAACCATTTTTCTCCTAGCTCTTATACTTACATCATAACAAACATGTTTGTTACATCTTTTACCTTTTGGGATAAATTTTGAATACCTCAATAAATAACAGTTAAGATAAATAAATACTCTAAAAATAAATAATACAGAACAAATAACCACATCATGTGTAAAGTAACAAATTGTAATCTTAATGTATATTTCTTTGCTAAACAACTTAATGAATATGGTGGTTTTCTTTTAAAATTGTCCTATTTTAGAGAGTGTTTGGGCAAGTTTTTATGAAAAAATAGCTTTTAAGTATTAGCATAAGTTGTTTTTCAGAAGCTGAAAAATAACTTTTTCCTATAAACACTTCTGAAACCTAGGTCGAGCATAAATTGTTGTTCTAATATTGAGATTTTTTTTGAAAAACAACTGAATACCCAAACATAAATTGTAGTAACTCTCTAGTAGTACTTTTTTTTGAAATAGTTTTGACAGAAAGATCTTTTCAAAATAAATAAATTTAAGAGGTTTGGTCAAATTGTCTGTTAAATTGGGTAAAACTATTACTATAACTTAATTAGCGTCACAGCTTCTTACAAAATATATTATCGGATAACTTTGTTGAAAACCCAATTAGAGTTCAATAGAATTGTTTTCATTATATTTCCTAACAAATATCAAATGTTTACATGTACAAAAATAAATTTAGTGACGTAGAGACAATTTTTCAAATTAAAACAAATAATATTCCCTAATTGTTGGAGTTCATGCATAACTTACCAATGAATCGACCTTTGCGAGTATCCCGATTTTCTATAATTAACTTTCAAGATGTGGCTAACTTATTATATTAGTCTATTACCTTCTTTTTTTAAGTTGCATTGCAAATACCAGTGTATTATTGTTTTGGGTTCGATTTTTTGACTATATTTGTTAACTTTATAGTATTTGTTATGATCACTATTTTTAATTTAAATTTAATGTATTTGTGTCTTTGACCAATTTGTACAGATAATAATCTACAGAAGAAGTTAAGTCAAGCTATTATAAAAGTTATTTCTAAGGAGGAGGGCCGACATATATAGGTAAAAAGGCTGCAACGCACATGTAGCCGAAAAAGTCGATTGGGCCCCAATGTTGCAGCGCTATTAATGACGGATGTTATGGATATTTTGTCCAAATAAGGAAACGCACAATACACAAGGTAATCTAGTACTACAAGATTAAAGTACAGTTGTGCGCGAAATGCCAAAATTGTCCCTGGTCGGCAAGCTGACATGATGACTTTCAGCTGCTTCTCTCGCTCTTCTATATTTTAGTAATTTAGTATCTTGAGATCAACTAAAATTTTATTTATTAAATTTATCCTCTTTATTTGAACTAAGTCCTTATATTTAGGATTTTGATATCAATTAAAATTTAATCAAAATTAATTAAACTTTTATCTTATATAAATTGTCTATATCTGTATCTATCTATATACTATATATTATATTAAAAGCATGAAGTCCCTTAGCAAAATGTCGTTCGCCTTTTTACTCTTTAAAAAATGATTTCACATTGGGAAAAAGTGTAAATTAATTATTTTTCTAATATTTAAGCGAAATACATTAAAAATTTGTATTGAATCTTTTCTTATTTAAACTATATAAAATCTTTTCTTATTTGAACTATGTAGAAACTCCTAATATTTAAGTTATATAAATTTATTTCTTAAATTTCTAAACATTAAAGGTTACTGTTGTAAACTACCATAAACACATTAGGACGAGTAAGAAAATATCTGCAAATAAACAACATGCTTACGTTTAAAAATAATATAATTCATAGTAATAACTAATAATATATAATATACTTTAATTTTTTTATTAACATATTATAATATATGGACATATTAAATCACAAACTCAATTACAATATTTGACAAGTGAAACATAGATAAGATACTTAAATTTGTATATTGAAATTAGTAGTAAATCGTACTCTAATTTATAAGATCGTTAACTTTCTACATATTTTTTTAAATCAATGCTTATTTAAGTAATATAGGAAGTCAAATAATTTTATTCATGTAATTTATTAAAATTTATTCCCATCGATAAGGATTCACGCGCAACGCGCGTACTCTAAAACTAATATATGAAAATACAAGTAGTGTGAAACATAGGAGGGTCTAGGATGAAGGTGTCGGGTGCCATAATTTCCTTTAATGTATACCTTTTATTGACTAATACGGAATTTATTAGGAACGTTTATACAATTTTTTTGAGTTTATTTGGTTCAACATAATATGTATTTTTTATTTGTAAATATAAAAATTACAACTCAAATATAAAAAACAAACATAATTGGCATTTTAAATAAGGAACGACACCTTTATTATAACAACACAAATAAAATCAACACTTTCACTAGAAAGTTACATCTTTTTCTGTATATAAAAAATAAATTTATACAAGTAAGATAACATCTTAAATAAGGAAATTACATCAATCAGAATAGATTTTTTTTTTAAAACATATCTTCAATAGATAAATTATACTACCTTCGGTTCAAAATAAGTGATTTTTGGCCTTTTTTTGTGATCCAAAATAAGTGATTTTTTCATATTTCAGGAATGAATTAATTATTTTTTTCCTACATTGCCCTTGGAGTAAATAGTGTTGGAGTATGTGTTATGAGTATTTATGTGAAGAGATAGTAAAGGTTAATATGGTCAATTTCATTGCTAATTAATGTTAAAAGGTGGATTTCTTAATCCGTGTGAAAACAGCTAAAAAATCACTTATTTTGGACCAGAGGGAGTATCCCATAAGTATAAAATTAAATAAACTTCAAGTTCCCAAAAATCAAAATCATAAATCTCATATTCTTTTTAAAGGCTTACAAAATCTACATGATAATTTAATAGTAAAGAGATTTAATTATATTTAATAACCATAGAATAACACAAATTTTTATGATATAATAAAAGAAGATGGAAAACAATTAATCTCAATCCAAAATTCCTATTAAGACCTAAGTTTTTCGGATTTCAAAGAAGAAAACTCATAAATTTAAGATTAAGAGGAATGCTTATGTTATATAATTTTAAAGTTTTGGAGTCTCTTTTTGAGTGTTCTTGCTAGAGACTACATATAAAATAATAGAATAGAGAAACAAAATAATATAAATAAATAATAAAACGACAAATAGCAAATGAGGAGATAGCCGAAAAGGGAAATGACTGGGACAAAAGAAAATAAAAAGCATAAAGAAAAGGGGAAGTCGGACAAGGTTCAAGATAAATTGCAACTTGAATTTTACGCCGAGAAAAACTTTCAAAAAAGTCTGCCAGTCATGACACCTTTGTCTAGTAAATTACGGTTGCGGGTAGCTGCGGGTAGCAGGATCAAATATTTAACCTAGTTTAAGTAAATTTCAACATATGTATATAAAAATTTTATCATTTCAGCGAGTGTCATGCCACCCCTTCCTAAAGGATTGGATCCGCCCATGGTGTGAAAGAAAGTACTGCAGTAACTTCCTTTCTCTTGTCATTTTCCTCTCTTACAGCTTGTTTGATGGTTGTTACCTATTGTATTGTATAGTGTTGTTAGTTTAAATATAATATTTGTTTTGATTGTTATTTTAATTAGTGTATCGTATCATTAAATCAATCGTTACGTAACATCGAAAATTCTCATTTTATGTAACGACCGATTTGGTGTTATTGCGTCGTTACCTTATTTATTTTTTCTCATTTTGTCTTTACTTATTATCTAATAATTATATTTTTTTCATTTGTCCTACTTTTTTATGATAGCTCTACATGGTACCCTACTTTTCTTGTAGGTTTATCCTTCAAATTGTTGATGTCTAACATTATGTAAAGATAGAAAATATGATCTATCCAAACGTTATATTCATCGAAACAATATAATACAATTCAATACAACACAATACGATACATTACGAAACAAGAAACAAGAAGTAACAACCATTCAAACAAAGTGTTATTCAACTAATATGTGGACATATATTATATGAAGCAAAAGATTCTCCCTAAACAAGTGTTTATTCTTAAGTTATAAACAAGAAAAATCAAGAATTTTTCTTTTGCTTTTCACAGAGAAGATGATATTGTGGAAAGACCATGAATGTCGGATTGACCCAGTGGCGAATCTAGAGTAGACGCAGTAGATTCAATCGAATTCAGACCCTTAAATATATACTACTATGTTAAAAAAGGTACATATAGAGAGATTTAAAATTCTAAATCCGCCGTTGAATTGACCTACCAAGTTTGTCCGACAAAGGACGTCCATGCACAATAAGCACAAACAATCTTCTGAGATATGTACACATACACTGCAAACGATAAGCTCATTAATGTCAAATCCTTCCAATCACCCTTATGCTTAGGACTCAAATTATCCCTTAAACCATTTCCTAATTTCTCCACATCAAATATAAGCTGTGGCAATACACCCTTTTTGTTTTCCTTGTTGATTTGCTTCTCTGCTTTCGCATTTTTGAGATCACTTGATTCACGATTTTGACAAGATATTAAGATGGAAAATGATCTTGGAGTAGTGCACTTTGTGTGACATTCTTGAATAGTAGGAGTAGTGTTTTTGCTGTGGAATGAATGACTGAATGAGATTGAAGCCATGGAAAAAACTTTTTAAAAAAAATAGCTTTGATTGTTGGATATTTTAGATGGACATCTGAATGGAGTTGAGAAGATGAATTATTTAGTATGGCATTGATGAGTTAGGGAAAGAAAGTGAATAAAGTGGTTGCCCCACATTATTTGGAGCAACTATAAAGATAAAACAGTCAAACTCAAAACATTAGGGTAGAAGGAAATATCTTTCTATAAGAAACCATTTTCTGCCTTATGTTTTGGTAGTAGAAACGTATGGATAAGGTATTGCATAGAGGAAAAGTCAATGTGGATAAAGGCAGGAAGTAATTTCCGTTGGTATGGTTAAGTGATAAAATCAAATAAAAATCAAATGATGTATTCATTGGTTTGGTATAAATATCTATGTCTAAAAAGCTTTTTTTGTAATATATGTTGTAGAGTATTAAACCACGCACATGACAATTTGCCCCGTTCTTGCACAACTTGCTTATGATTTGGCTATGCCAAGTCAGCCTAAAGTACTATACTCAAGATCCCTAAATGAGTGCTAGATAAGAGAGGCAAGAGAATTTTGCCAAATGAAGCTTTTTGTATTTTGGAAAATTTGATTGTTTTACTTGATGAGTTACAAATTAATAGTCCCCATTATATACTAGTCTCCTAGAGGCAGGTAAGTAAATAATAATTATTACACCAGTCCCTTAGTATTAACAAGTAAGTTTGCTCTCTAAAATTCTCTACACAGTTAGAATCTTCTAAGGTTTTTTTAAAAAACTCATAGGGTTTCAGAGTCTTCCAAGAATCTCCATATTTCTTTAGAACCTTCCCACAAGTGCTAGCCTCCTTCCTATGTCAACTTTTCACATGGCAAAAATATATGCCAGTGGCATGATGATATAGCGGGTCACGATAATTAGCCCGAATTATGTGCGTTGTACAAATATCGGAGCATGTTAAATGTCATGGGCTACTTTCCAGACACGCCCCATGACCCCTTGGCCGCGCCCCATGGCGGCCTAGCAAGCCTCACAATGCCTAGCGCCATGGTCGGCCCCGTGGTCTTGGCTGCGCCAAGTGACAAGCGCGCATGTGCCTCTGTCGCCCCACCGATGCCTCTCGCCAGCGCCCAAGGGCTGGCCAATGACAACAGCGCCGCGCGCCCTGACAATGCCGCGCGCGCAGATCCTGATGCCTCGCCAGCGCCCAGCTGCAGGCCCATTCCAGCAGCGCCTCGCGCACAGACCCTGATGCCAAGCACCAGCGCCCAGCCTCAGGCCAACACAGCAAGTGTCGCGCGCGCCCACAGCAACGCGCGCGCAGACCCTGACCCGCAAGACAAAGTTGCTGCCATCGGACTTAGTTCTACCTTGTAATAAACTAAGTCCTTTTCATTGTAATTATAGGCTAGTTTACATCATTTTCATTCAGTGTGCTTCTACAGCTTTATTAGGACTAGTCATGTAATGTTGGTTTATTTTGTTTAAGCATTATTAAGGGGGACCAAACAATCAAACATTTTCAAGCAAGCAATTTTCTGTACTGGTGTCTCTCCCCCTCGACACCGCATCTTTTGTAATCAGCATTTCAGTCATCAATAAAATCATCATTATCATCATTCAAAACCCAATGCTCTCTCAGTTTCCGCAATTGCTCGTGACATTGGTTTTCCCGCACGGCACTGACAATCTAGTCTAGCGTGCGGAGGGGACCTCATTGGCGGACATCAACCGCACTGACATCGGTTGCTTAGCCTTACATTGCCCTTCCAAAGAACATCAGGAAGGCGTTGCGTAATAGTTGGTATCAGAGCCTAGGCTCGACATCGGACGAGGGAACACATTTGCCATCATCGCCATTTCTAACCATGGTGAATCATGGGGAGCGCCTGGCATCCCTAGAAGAGACGGTTGACCGATTACGACCCATCATGGATACAGTGCCTGATCAAAACAACAACCTAGTGCAAAGGTTGAACGACCTGGACCGCCGAATGCGGCAGGCAGAAAATGACATTGCAAAGGTAGCGACTACTGCCATGTTTCTTCAGGGCGATGCCAAACTTTGGTGGCGGGTCAAATACGAATCTATCAAGGCCGGTGAAGATACTCTCCAGACATGGGATGAATTGAAGGTAGCCATACGCCTGCAGTTCTTCCCCGAAAATGTGGAAAACAATGCAAGGAGAAAGCTACAGGAACTCCGCCACACCAAATCAGTGCGGGAGTACGTGCGCGAATTCTCCGCACTCATGCTAAACATACGCGATATGGGGTACAAAGACAAACTCTTCGCATTCATATAAGGTTTGAAACCTCATACCCGTATGGAACTATAGAGACAACGGGTAGACACCCTGCCCAAGGCCATTCAAGCTGCAGAATGCCTTGGTGATTATCATTTGGGAACTCAAAATGACAGGCCCCATCCGTCTGTCCGAGGGGGATTCAACGGGAACCATCCCAGTAATGGTGGCCCAAGCAAAAGTGAGGGAGATCGGAGTGCATCCAAAACTAAGACTCCTCCCTCCAATAGCAACAATGATGCATCCATCAACAACAATCAGGGGAGAAAGCCTCCCTCAGAATGCCGTCATTGCGGCGGGGCACATTGGAACAATGAATGCCCAAACATAAAGGCCAATGCTCATCAGACTGTCGAGGATGAGTCAGACGCATCAGACACATCAGAAGAAGACCAGGTAGGCGCCTTCAATGCAATTGTTGGCTCTATTCTGTATGCCTTAGCGGAGACCAGTGCATGTTCTCATAAGAAAATCTCGGTCCCAATCACCAAGAAAGGGAAGGAAAAGATGGACGAGAGACCTCCTAAACAAGCGAGGACCCTAATGTTCGTCAAATTGAAAGTGAATGGCAAGCCCCTTCACGCATTAATAGACACGGGTGCCACCCACAACTACTTGTCGTCAACTCAAGTAAAGCGCCTGGGTCTTGTTGTGCAAAAGAGCAAAGGCCGCGTCAAGGCTATCAACTCACCACCCTAGACATTGGGTGGAACAGCTACAAATGTCCCAGTGAAACTTGGTCCATACAAAGGAAGCATCGACCTGCGCATCGCAATCATAGATGACTTCGACATCATCGTGGGTTTGGAGTTCATGAGGAAAACCAACACCATACCGGTACCATATGCCAACATGCTCCTGATGATGGGAGAAAACGGGGCCAAGCCCTGCACCATACCATGCTTTCCCATAAAGATGCCCGCTGAAAACATCTCGGCCATGCAGTTGGAGAAGGTAGTCAACAGACATGAACCCCTGGTTCCGGCTACCCTTCGCAGCAACAATCAGCCATTAGGTCATCGACCTCAAGAGACTGGTGACGCTCCTCAACGTGTAAAGACTTGTCAGCCATGCCACAAGGACAAGTTGGATCACTCATCACAGAAAGGACCCTCACAGCCATTACATGTCCCTCAGAGACCATGAGAAAGTGTTTCCCTCAGATTCATCACGAGATTGCCCCAAGTCGGTAATCTTGCATCCATCATGGTTATCATAGATCAGTTTTCAAACTATGCAACCTTCATAGCAGCCCCGCAAAACGCATCAGCAGAAGATACAACTTGACTCTTCTTTTCGCACATTGTCAAACATTGGGGCCTGCCCAAAGACATTGTTAGTAGGCGCGACTCACGCTTCACTAGCAACTTTTGGACCCACCTCTTCAGGTGTTTTTGGTCAACATTGAGTCACAACTTAGACATCCATCCAACATCGAATGGCCAGACAGACCGGTTCGATGACATGCTGGAGTTATATCTCCGTAACTTTGCAACCGGATCACAGAAGCATTGGGTGAAGCTCCTAGATGCTGCTCAACTGTGTTTC